AGCAATAATTTTTTTATGCATGCACCAAAGTGGGTCTATATAATGTGCAGTTGCAGCAATAATTTCAGTGGAAGGAGCATGTGCAGCTATATATTCCCATATATCTGAAGTTAAAGATATGACACCCTCATATTTTTGTAAATCCATAATTAATTGTTGTTTTGTTGAAGTAAAATACTGTATTGTATCAGAACGAAAAGTGTTTCGACTTACCCCAACGTACCTTGGCTGCAGATATTCTTTCACATACGAGACGTAGTGTTGGTTGTCAATTAATGCCAAAGGCAACTCAGCACTAGCAACAAGTTTCACCATTCCGGTTCGAACTTTCTCCTCCGAATACACCCAGGTGGATAGGGGTACAGTAGAACTACCGACGTCTGGACTACCAAATTGCAATTGTGTTTGACAGCCTGGAATAAGTCCGTGTTTGGCCGCACATACTTTATAATGATGGTTGAGATGGGTAGTATCAATTTCTCTTTGCCATGCCAATCTTTGTTGGCAGTATTTATATTCTACTTTGGATTCTTGAACTCCATTGACGATTTTTCCCGTTGAAATCAATTTAAAGTGATTCCAACATTTTGCTTGTTTTTTCCCCTTTCGCTTTCCTCTCGCATCAGGAATGTTTAATTCAGCCTCTTCTTCCTGAACGTGTTCCTCTTTGGGAACGTCAATATCATCCAAATTAATTAGATAATTTGGATTGCTGCTTACACGATGATGAAAATCCAAATCTGAAATATTTTCATGTAGGGGTACGTCATTTAGATCTTCAAATTGATTTTGAAATTGACTTTAAAGTGTCATAGGCGATTCGTTACCTCCCACACCGAAAAAGTTTTCGACAAATGAGCATGGATCCATTTGTTTAGTTGTAAGAAGTAATAACTAGTAGAAGAATAATTGTATAAATGTAGTGAGAAATGAAAATTGGATGAAATTTCAATAAAATAGTGAGAAATGAGAAATGAAAATTGGATATTGTATAAATTGTATATAAAAATTACAAGTTATCAACACAATACAAAAAACCCGAGAGAAAGATAATTGAGAGTTGAGAGAATTGTAAAAAAATTTATGCCTAAATGCCACTATTTATAGAAAAAAAGAGAAAAAAAAAATTTTAAGGACCAAAACGGTCACTGAAAAAATTCAGTGAACGTTAACAGTCAAAAAACATATAAAATAATAATAATAATAATAAAATATTAATGAGAGACTGAAACGGTCACTGACAAAAAGTCAGTGACCGTTCAAAAAGTGACCAAAATGGTCACATTTTAAAACAAGCCCACGAGCTTGGGCTGGTGGCTCGTTTCCAAACGAGCCGCTCGCGGGCTTGCTGCGAGCGACTCGTTTTTTGTGCGAGCCGAGCGGGCTCGGCTCGGCCACCAAACCAGCCCGCTTGGCTCGTGCTCGGGCCGCCCACGAGCTCCCTTTTTTTACGAGCCCGAGCCTCCCACGAGCTCCGTTTTCGCGAGCCGACGAGTCGTTCGGTCCATTTGCCATCCCTATTTAAAAGTGGATGCATATATAAAAATTGTGGATATAAATAGCAGTATCTTTTCATAAGCCCCATGTGTAATTTGGCAAAGATTTGGACAATTTTTCGTATTAAAATTAATATTGTAATGATGAAATATTATCGAGAATCCACTTACTATTTTTACACATATATTGAGGACCAGCTGTTCAATTTTTCCTTAACTGGTAATTAAAGCAATGATCAAAATTCAATTAGAAAAAAGAAGTAAATATCTCTTATAGAATGCTTAGTACCAATACCACTAAGACAAAATGTCAAGATAGCTCAAAATTATAATACCCCAACTTGATCAAATAGTTGTAACTTACTACGATTTGGCGCCGTAAAATGATAACATACTGATCAAGATGCAATGGAAATTAAGATTTTAAAAGAAGCAAGTAGTTCTCAATATTTATTGAGGCATAACAAGTCCTCAATCATGAAAATCGTTGAAATTTATGTTAGACGTTCATAATTTTTGCATGTCTAGCATTATGAAATTAGGATTCCCATTATAACTTAAGCTATTATTAAAAAATTATAAGGGAGACATGTTTCGATTATGACCAAGCGATAATTACTGATCAAGATGCAATGGAAATTAAGATTTTAAAAGAAGCAAGTAGTTCTCAATATTTATTGAGGCATAACAAGTCCTCAATCATGAAAATCGTTGAAATTTATGTTAGACGTTCATAATTTTTGCATGTCTGGCTTTATGAAATTAGGATTGCCATTATAAATTAAGCTATTATTAAAAAATTATAAGTGAGACATGTTTCGATTATGACCAAGCAATAATTCAACGTAGATTGAATAGATTGTGTTAAAAATTAGTTTTGCAATAATTATTAAATGGTGATGACCAACTTGCTATTAAATATATAGATTGAAAACCATCTGTGTAATTTTTCCTTAAAATTTAATTAAAGTGATAATTAAAATTTGGTTAGATAAGGTTTAGTACGAGACTACTAGGAACAATATCAAGATAACTCAAAATGATAACACATCAACTCGATCAAATTAGCTTAAATTGTCTCGTGAGTTTGTGTTGTCGCAATCCTCTTCCACTTTCTCCAACTCATGAGGGTAAACCAAGATACTCTTACCGTGAACATTATGGAGGAAAATAATTACTTTTCTTATGTGAATGAACAAAGTTCATGTTTATAATTATTAGAACAGCAGTGCTGTTTGGTCAGGGTTAAATCCTGACCAAACAACATGGGGCCCATGTGGCACCCCCTATTGGAGCAATGACCGTCCCTCAAATAATGTGGCACCACAAACAAGATTTCTCTTATTAGAGAATAAGCATAATTTTGCACATGGTGCACTTGAAAGGTAGGACTTGTAGTCTAACGTTACAGAAATAAGAGCTTTATACTTTTCATTTATTTAATACTTGTCGTTTTGGTACCCATACCTCTCTTAATAAAAGTAAATATAAAAATAAATGTTTTGATGGGATGAGACCCTTTATTCCTTTCCTCCAACGTTGATAATTGCTTTATTAATATTATACGCCAAGAAAATTAAACTTCAAGAAACTTAGCAACGGATAAGCCCCTTTGACCCCCTTTAAAACTCATCAATCTAATTTAAGTTTTTTCTATCCTATTTTCAACCACATAATTTTCAATAAAATAATATTTTACGCAAATTGAAAACTTTTCATTCTTTTACAATCATCCATTTTTCAAAAAAAAAAAAAAAAGAAGAAGAAGCTATTCCTCCATTATAAATCCAAATAATAGGGGCCAAATGGGGAAATTTCATTAGCGATTTTTAATTTCATATAAGCTATCATTTTGCCCATTATTTCATCAAAATAACTTTTGTAATAGTGAATTTTAGTAGAATGCGTAGTTAAAATGTAAGAAAAAATTATGAATTTATGCGTAAAATATTCTAGTGTGAGAATGTATTGTTGAAAATGAATTTAGAAAAAATAAGTTTTGAAATAATGAAAATCAAACAGGGATTTATAATCCACACAAGATACTTGCAACAACAGAAATTAAGAGAATATGCTTCTATATACTCAAATTTCCAATTGACGCCTATATAAAATACTCATCTCAATCGCTCTGATTAGGTGTGTTCACAATTTGAAGTAAAAGGATTTGAATCGGTACCAAAAAACTGATGCCTTACCACTTCGCTCTTATACTCCATAAAAAGAATTCCTTGATTTTAGGGAATGCGTGAGAATCTTGATTCCCCTTTGAGTGCGTGAAGAAGATATTTCCAAGGGTTTTGATAAATGAACAAGGGCCGTCATGGTCCCTGTCACAGTAGCAAAACCCTATTTCCGATTCTTTTAGAGAGTCGTGCTTCACAGCGTTGATAGTTGAGGATAAAAACATAATCTTGCTTGACTGCATTTTTATCATCTTCTTCACCTAAGAGAGGCTATCCTCATTTTTTGAAATTCATTTTTAATTATATATTTTTTTCAAAATAATAAAATAAAAATTTACATATAAAGTGTTTTTACTTGTTATCAACAGTCTCTTATAATATGATTTTTACAAAATCTATTATGAAAAATAAGCTCAAACATGGAAAATACATAACGAATTAAAAACAAGATTTACACCATAATGTTTGTTGGTTGCATCACTTTTTATTGTACTTAAGGTTCTTAATCTTTGGTCATTATAACATTCATATTCATAACTTTTTCCATCGCATCTTATTTTCAACCTTACATTAATTAGCACACCTCGTCTTTGAGAACAATTTTCATCCAAAAAATCTGTTAGAAGAACATAAACGATAAAATGGCTTGTTCTCCAATAATAAATTTTAAAAAAATAATTAATATAAAATGGCAACATAATATTTATTTCTCATTTCAAAGCGCTCAAAGATAGAATATCTAGACATAACTAATTATCAAAGGCGAGACATACGAATTACTTGAAAGTTGAAATTTAGCCCTTGTTTGAGCCCTATTCTTCAAAAAATCATTTTTTTCAAAATTCATTTTCAAACATACATTTTTTAATAAAATAATATTAAACGTAAATCCAAAATTTTCTTTAATTTTTAACGATACATTCTTCGTTAATTTACTATTCAAAATGCATTTTTCCACCAAAATGGGACTCAAATAAGGGTTTAAATTTAAGAGTTCTCGATTGAAAAAGTAAAACTGAAGCACCCAATAAAAATCACACTGCCTACATAAGCATCGAAAAACAATCACCCAAATCAAAGGCAAAATGTAAATACACAATCGTCCATGGATTGAAAATTTAATGATCCAAAATTTTCGAAACTAATTTAATTACTTACAGAATCATTGTGAAAGTAATAGTTATTTGGTCGTTCCTTAACGAATCAATTCTAGCTTCCGGAGCAGACAAAGTATAATACTATATACTTGTTTGATTCCCATTATTTCCATGTGTATATATATATATATATATATATATTATACATACACGCAGAGAGAGAGAGAGAGAGAGAGAGAGAAGATAGCATGGGGAGAGCGTTCGATTATGTAATAGTGGGAGGAGGAGTGGCAGCTGGATATGCAGCTCATGAATTTGTTAAGAGAGGCGTTTCTCATGGGGAGCTCTGTATAATCTCTGAAGAATCGGTATGATTCTCTATTTATTTCGATATTATTTATTCGGCAATAATTTTTATCATCGCTGTTTGCATATTGGGTATGGCCTTATTCTTAGCACCCTATGCTATGAATATGATGTTTCAGTGTTTTTGTTTTATAATTGCTTATTATGCACTTTCTATAACTTATTTCATCCAATTGCATTTGCATCGTTAAAATTATTGACTTAGGAAACTTGGGTTCTGAAATTTTGTTGTATGTTTGAAACACAGTACTAGATACTAATTCAATGGATAATATGATATGATTATTCTCAATATAGTGATGAATCCACGATCAGGCTACAAGCAGAACTACTATGTAAAAATAATAATAATAAATTTACACATAAAATTTTTTTTACATGAAAAATGTTTTTTGCACTAAAAAAATTAAATGGGTAGGGAAGGAGATTGGATCACAGTAGGGATGGCAATCAGACTCGTCGGCTTAGATTGTTCGTGGCTCGATCGAGAAAAAGTCTGAGCCGGCTCAACTCGAGACTCAGAGGCACCGAGCCGAGGCTCGGGTTGAGCCCCATTAAAATAAACATAGAAAAAATCTGTCGCCTGTTTTAGCTGCCTGTTTGGCAAGCTAAAAAAAAAATAAAAAAAAATTCAGAAAAACTAGCCGGCCCGAGCTTTCGGCTCAGGCCGAGCCTTAATTTTTTGGCTGAGCTTTTCCTTGGCTCAACTCGAGCAAAAAAAAACTCGCCTTAAAAAAGCTCGAGCCGACTCGGCTCGATTCGTTGACTACCCTAGCCACAATCCAGCCCAGACCCCCTCTTTCCCTATCTCAATATATACTGTCAAATCTTCATTAGGAGTCGTGCTCATAATTTGAGAATTGTAATGTTGGATTATTAGGATCAAGTTTTTTATATTTTGTTCTTAATAGTAATGCTAAGTCGACTAAACCTCTGTTACAAGCACTTGAATAAAATTTAGCATTTGGATTAGCGTAACAAAGCATTACCTTCTTCTCTATGCTGTTGGTCCAAAATAAGAACAAATCAACGCGGTAACTCCAACTTCTTTTGCAAAAACAGTAAAAAAAAAAAAAAAAAAAAAAAAAAAAAAAAAAAAAAAAAACTCAAAATCAGCAAGAACACAAGATTTTTTGGCCAAAAATCCCAAACGTTCAACGATTGCTATTTAATGCTTATTCCCTCGTTGAGCATCCCCAAGGATATCGCTCAAATACACTATAAAGCCTGATAGGCAAAGATCGAAGTACAGTACAAACAACAAAGGGTTCTTGAAATCCTAATATCTCAAACTCCCTTATTACAACAATCACTCACAAAGTGGTATTGTTTAACCCTTTTCTCCAGTTTACAATAATCTCACAAAGAAATCACTAATGAATCATCTAGTTGACGACCAAAGTTTACACACAGAGATATCAAGAAGACGAAAGAGGCACAGAGTTCGATTGAACCCTTTTATATGAAATAAGGCAATAGTGCTCATCCAAAGGTGCAAAATGCTCCACGTGTCAATCATCCAGTATAGGCGCATATAAGATCAAAGTTGCTTTCAGTATACCTACGTTTTTTTAACTCTTCTGAAATCATCTTTATATTGGATCAGTAATGGACCGGGTATTTGGGCTTAAAAATTGTCTTACTTGTTCAGACAAATTGGGCTCTCAAAATGTAGCAGCCCAAATCTACATATACATCATCTCAGCATCAATGTAAGAATAGTTGTGCTATGTGTACAACCGGGGTTGACAATTCGATACACGAGAGGGGGCCCACATTGAATAAAAAAATCATGGATCCCTCCTCTTATGAGTACATTGTCAACCGGAATTGTCAACCTCAGTTGTACAAGAAGAATAATTCATGTAAGTAAAGCTTTTGAGCATCAAGTTTGAATTAAAAGAAATATTCATATCATATCTAAAAGTTGCATATACTTCCTAAAAGCAGTTTTGGAGTTGGATTAGGCTGAGTCATTGAGCACTTAACCAAAAAATGTAAAGAAATTATAAATAAGTAAATGTTGACCTATTTGAATTTTAACTTATGGCATCCAAAGGTTGATTCATTTTACTTTGTAGAGATTGTGTATTTTACTTTTCCATTTTGGAATTTGTGACAATCTAATTACAGAAATATCAGAACTGTTATATGTGCCAGTATCATGGCACATTTTCTATTTACTCCTGAATCTTGATATCTGCCAATTCATCCTGAGCCTCTTAATGTCCAATAATTATAGATAATAATATTATTGAACAATTGCTAGAGTTTCTTGGTTCAAGACATTCTACCATGCTCGGTAGAAAGTAGTGAAGTCTTGAGGGAGAGAGTCTATCAACAATCCTTTAGCCTATTTATCCTTGGTTATGCTATTGATTCTTGTACACTTTTTGCAGGTTGCACCATATGAAAGGCCTGCATTAAGCAAAGGTTATTTACTTCCAAAAGGTGATTTTTCCCGCGTAATTCCTGAATCAATAACCTTCTCACGAGTCACAGTGCACTTCTTATAAGCATCTTGCAGGTTTAATATAATCTGTCTTTTCTTGGAATAATGCAAGGTACTGTTGTCACACTGATAGTATCCCTTTATTAGGTTGGAGGTTCAGATGTCCCTTTTGAAAAATTCATTAGTTTTAAGAAAAATCTGAAATGTAGAAATTTAGAAATGATCTTAATGCTTCAACAGGTAAAATCTAGGATGTTGCCCTAAATCAATTGATAAATTCCATTGTTTTCAATGCATTACACTTATTATAATGGAGAGTTCTTGTACAATGACAATACTACTGCAGTTCTTGTAAAATAATTAATTTTGGGTAAAATACTTTTGAAGCATATTTGTCTATTGTGTTTATTTCTTTCCTATTTCTTTGATGCACTTATGTAGTTATTATTATCCTTTAGTGATGTTAATCCAAGTGTGAGAATGAAGATTTAACAGTGTGTGACTTTATCCTTTGTATTTGGTTTTACTTGCAGATCCTGTTCGTCTTCCATCATTTCATTGTTGTGTAGGTACCAATGAGGAAAATTTAACCCCGAATTGGTACAAGGAACATGGTAATTCTACCTCCCGTTCTGGCTTCTGATTTATACTTTTAAAGGAGTCATTAGATGTCACCAGTTTTTGTATTTGGGTGATATGTGAATCAAGTGCCTTAATGGTGTTCTTCTATCTTATCATCATGCATTCTTTCACTCCTCGATGTTACCTATTGGTTCTACGGCCGTCAAATGAAACAGTCATCGTTTTATCTTTAACAAGTATCCGTGCTTCTTAGACTTTGACATTACATTCACTTCTTCAGCAAACAATAAGATAACAAGTTCAGGGTCAGGTACTATCGAAAATATCTGTTAACATTCTTAATGTAGATGATACTAAAGAAATATGAAGTACTAGTAAATGAGTCTATGATTTCTTCTGAAAAATGTGATGTGGGCAGTATTCAGTTAGACCTTTCATTTATATCTCTTTGAGGCTAATTTATCTCCCAGGGTACTCGAGACAATGAAATGCTCCTTGAGCGAGGTGAAGTAGTAGAAAATATCAGTTTTAAAATTATAACTTTCTTGAGTTTTTTCTGATTTACTTCGGAGATTATTTTTACCGGCCTAGATTTATGTTCAATTAATTGCTTTCTCCAAATTGTTATATTTTAGGTATTGAATTGATTCTGAATACACAAGTTAAGTCGGCTGATGTGAAGAGCAAGACGCTACTAACTTCGACAGGAGAAACCATAAGCTACAAAATTCTCATTGTTGCAACAGGTGCTCGGGTATTGAAACTAATCTTTTCCGTTGACCTCTGTTGCACTCGATAAACGATGATCTAATTGTAGCTCGATTTAGGGAAGTGATTTTCCTGTGAGAAACAGGATAAAAAGAGAAAAAAGCGTTCCACCAATTTTAATTTAGAGGTTCTTATGCCTTCCTTTCATGATTGGCCAAGAACGTGCTTGTTCTGGTTCTTTCTAATCTTTGGAACTACTGTATAACAAATGGATCAAGATCCATGAGATTATAATTATCCTTCAGAATTCAAATTTATGATTTAAAATATTTTACATGGTCATACATATTGATTATCGAATTAGAGAAGGAATCAACAAAATTTTCTGCTCGGATTGATTTGCTCGTGTTATTATAGCCTTTGAAACTGGAAGAAACTGGGGTGAGTGGATCTGATGCGGCGAATGTGTGCTACTTAAGAGATTTGGCGGATGCAGAAAGACTTGTAAATGTCATGCAATCCTCTAGTGGTGGAAATGCTATTGTCATTGGTGGAGGCTATATAGGAATGGAATGTGCCGCATCTTTGGTGATAAACAAATTAAAAGTCACTATGGTTTTCCCCGGGGCACATTGCAGTGAGTAATTTTATTTGCATTCTGCTCTTCTTCTTCATTTCCATTTTTAGTTTTTGAAGTTCCATTATGTTGTCAAATGTAGTTACATTTATGGCATGTTTGGTAAGATGAACAATTCGGAAGAAGAAGTAAAAATCTTGTCCATTATTGATTATACTGTAGTACGTTCCAAACATGTACTTTTTTTACGTCCTTTTGTTTTGTTCTTTTTTGGTGCAGTGGCCACTTTATTTACCCCGAAGATTGCCAGTTACTATGAAGAAT